CACACTTTGGCTGTTTATGTGGATACACAAACACACTTTGGCCATTTATGTAGGTAAACAAACATATTTAGGCTGTTTATGTAGGTAAACAAACACACTTTGGCCGTTTATGTAGGTAAACAAATGCACTTTTCTGTTTATGTAGGTAAACAGATGTTATAATTGGCAACTGTTTAGAATCTTTGATTGTAAGGTCGTATTGTAATATTTTGTATTTACCTGTAGTTGTTTTGTGACTCTGATCAGCTCGTGTTTGATCTGGGCCAGTTCTGACTTGGGGTTGTGGTGGAGCCATCTTTAAAAACAAACCCTGGACCAAGCAAAAATAACGCGCCAACACGTTTGCTCTCATAGAAATGTTATTTTATCAGCTTTATTTTTATTTGTCTCATTTTTAACATGTTATAAAAATATCAGTTTAGTTCTTAGACACATTACTGGTCTGTAAAGACTCAGTCCACCAGGGACCAGGTCCCCACAGGCCCCCCCTCAGATCTGCCCTTTCTTTAATGTAAAAAAGATGTTTATGAAACTCTCTGTGTGTCCCTGCAGGCAGCTGTCCTCGGAGCAGGCCGTCCTCCAGCAGACGCTGCAGAAGGAGTCAAAGGTCAACAAGCGTCTGTCCATGGAGAACGAGGAGCTGCTCTGGAAGCTGCACAACGGAGACCTGCTGGCCAGCCCTCGCCGCCCCTCCCCGACCTCCCCCTTCGGCTCGCCTCGGAACTCCGCCTCCTTCCCTACAGCTGCACCGTTGTCTCCCAGATAACCTGTCCCCACCTCCCGAGGACAGGGACGTGTCCCGCCTGTTGGACGTTTGGATGTGCTGCGGTCGGAGCGTGGGACGGACCTCGCCTGTCACTACCTGAAAACGCCTGATCCGATGAGCGCTTCTTCATCTGAAGGACACGCAGCAGGCACACCTCAGGACCTGTCCATATCCTGGCTGTCGTCATGGCAACCCCTTTTTATTTTATAATGAACTTGTCCTCAGTCAGTCTCTTAAAGAGGACGAAAACTGATGGAGACCGAATGAAATGACGGGTACTGGAGCGTAGTGTTTTTTTTGTGTTTTTTCTCAAAGAGCGAAGCTCAATCACTGACTGAAACTCTGCAGGACAGTGGACATCCTGTCCATCTGAGGACAAACAGGAGCTCTGCAGGACGGTGGATTCCAGTCCATCTAAGGACAGATGGGAGCTCTGCAGGATGGTTGACTTCCTGTCCTTCTGTGGGCAGAAAAGAGCTCTGCACGACATTGGACATCCTGTCCCTCAATCACTGATTGGAACTCTGCAGGACGGTGGACATCCTGTCCATCTGAGGACAAACAGGAGTTCTGTAGGACGGTGTATTCCGATCCATCTAACGACAGATGGGAGCTCTGCAGGAAGGTGGACTTCCTGCCCATCTGTGGACAGAAAGCTCTACCTGACGTTGGACTTCCTGTCCCTCAATCACTGGCTGGAACTCTGCAGAATGGTGAACTTCATGTCCCTCAATCACTGACTGGAGCTCTGCACGACAGTGGACATCCTGTCCCTCTGAGGACAGAAAGGAGGGCTACATGACGTTGGACATCCTGTCCCTCTGAGGACAGAAAGGAGGTCTACACGACATTGCACATCCTGTCCATCTGAGGACAGAAAGGAGTTCTACACTACATTGGACATCCCGTCCATCTGAGAACAGACTGGAGTTCTACACAACGGTGGGCATCCTGTCCCTCAATCACTGACAGGAGCTCTGCAGGACGTTGGACTTCCTGTCCCTCTGAAGACAGACTGGAGCTCTGCAACATGATGGACTTCCTGTCCCTCTGAGGACGAACTGAGCAGAGACATTGTGTCCCTCCAGCCTGAACTTGACACTTTGTGAATGTAATCTGACTTGGAGCCAAATAATCCGTTAATTTACCATGAAGCGTGTTTGTTGTCCCTGCTTCCACCATCTTGTGCCCAAACTGGAATCAAACTCCGTTTCTGTCTCATGGAAACACTTTACCTGCCACTCAGGCCTGTTCTTTCAAAATAAGTGTCACTTCCTGTCCTGAAAAACCTCAGCTGTACCTGAAATGCCTCATTGTTTATTTTTGACAGAATAAAATCAAAATGGCAGATAAACGTCAAAATGTTTTATTTGAGCAGCAGCAGAGACACGTGGAGGGGGTGGGACCGTGGATCCGGTCCTCCTTTTACTGGTCGTAGCGGGGATGGACCATGGTAGGGTCGAGCGGCGGCGCCCGCTGCTCTGCGCCAGGCGGAAGTTGCTGGAGGTCGGCGGCTCGGACCATCATCACCACGGACCTGATGGCGTAGGACCAGCCGTGCCAGACGTACCAGGCCACGCCGTCGTCGCTCATCGCCTCAAACGGACCTTTGAAGTGCTGCTCCTCCTCGTTATCTGAGCCGCACCTGTGAGGAGGAGGAGGAGGAGGAGGAGGAGGAGGAGGAGGAGGAGACACTCAGACCTGGTCCTGTACTGGCAGACCAGTTTCTCTCTAATTTCACTCGGAAAAGTTTTGGTTCTGACTAAATAAAAATAAATTTCAAAACATTCATTCCTACACTGAACGTTGCAGCACCTCACAGCTGGACCCAGAAGTTCTGGTGGGTTCTCACCAGGCTGCACAAAATGATTCTGGTCGAATCATTTTCATTGTGTTTGAGTTGGACACGTTTTCTGTCACAATTCAGCCGTTTCTCCAGAGACGATGGAGCTTCTTACAGAAAAAGATTTGCTCAAAGTTCAAGCAGCAGAACTGATGAAACTCCACATGAGAAACCTGAGAACTCGACAAACCTCAGGAGATGTTCCGCAGACTCCCATCATGTCACAGGAACATGACCTCTGACCCCCACCATAAACAGAACCATGAATAAACGATTCCTCAGGGTTCTAGGTCAGTCCTGTGTGATGTGTTTGGGCTCGTTCAGACATTTTTTGGTTCCGTTTATGAAAATAAAGTTTAATGGTTGCAGAACAAACTTCTGATAAGTTCTGACAACAAACAGTTGGACTGTGAAGAAGAGCTGCTCTGTAACTTGCTAACGCTAACACCTGGACTGCTAACACCTGAGATGCTAACACCAACACCTGGGCTGCTAATGCTAACATCTGGGCCGCTGACACCTGGGTTGCAACTAGTGAGTTTCCAGGTGTGTCGATCTGTTCACAGCAGGTTCTGATTAATTTTTTTAGTTTTAAAGACGTAAAAAGAAACAATCCTCGGTGTCTGAGGACATGTCCAATCTGTCTCAGGGCTGCAGGACGCTGTCCTCTGACAGGACATGTCCAACCTGTCTCAGGGCTGCAGGACGCTGTCCTCTGACGGGACGTGTCCAACCTGTCTCAGGGCTGCAGGACGCTGTCCTCTGACGGGACGTGTCCAACCTGTCTCAGGGCTGCAGGACGCTGTCCTCTGACAGGACATGTCCAACTCTATGAACCTTCTGATGATAAATTAATTCTGGCCCAACAGCAGCTGAGGTGCTGGGTCCAGAACATTGTTCTTAGCTGTGGACGCAGAAACAGGCTGAGATTTTCAGAAACTGGATTCTGCTGCTGGCGGGTCAGAACCTCAGAGTTTAATGAGACTACAACAAAACCAGAACCACAGGCACTGTAGGTCCAAACAATCCTTGTCTGAAGTTGTAGATTACAGGTGATCATCTTCGGTCCTCATTACAGCCTCGGAATCAGACCGTGTGGTGCCTAAACATCCCCACCCAGAGGTACCTGCAGAACCAGCAGCCGGACCTACCTGCAGAACCACCAGCCGGACCTACCTGCAGAACCACCAGCCGGACTTGGAGTAGCGGACGCAGCGTTGGCTGTCGACCTCGTTGTACCCGGGGTGGTCGTAGGTGCTGAACTTGATCCCGCCCTTGCAGGGACTGTTTGGATCCAGGCCGCGAGCGTCGGCCAGAGCGTCGCCAGCCGTCCCAGAATACTCACCCACGTGGACCTGGTACTGGTCCTGTGAGGAACAGAACAGAACTCTGTATGTGTGAGGTTCTCAAAGGTCTAGGGTCAACGGGTTCAAGAAGGTCCAATTATTTCAGAAGGAACTGAGAATCTTTAAAAAGTTGAATTATTTCACTGATTGAATTTAACAAATGTATTTATTTGACCCGTTTGCTTCACAGCTGATAAAAGATGTAAAAAAATATATATATTTTTATTTGTAAATTCTGACTAAAGTCCAAAGTGTTGAACTCAAAACAAACTGACAGTTTTATGTTCTGATGACTGAAGATGACCTTAAGATGTTTGTTTTAAATGCGGCTGACCGTTTTAAAATTTCATAAAATGTTTTTTTTTAATGTTTTTTTTTCTTTAAATTTGTGTTGGTTTGTAGTTACAGTTGTTTTATTGATAATTTTTATTGAAAGTTTTATAAATAAAACGAACAGTGATCAGAGAAAGTCCAACGAGTGAAACCGTCTGGAGACATGAATGTGTTTACTGTCCAGACCAGGTGAGACAGATGAGACAGGTGAGACAGGTGAGACAGATGAGACAGGTGAGACAGGTGAGACAGATGAGACAGATGAGACGGGTGAGACAGGTCAGGCAGGAGAGACAGGTGAGGCTTCTTCGTCAGGATCCACGGCTCGGTAAAGTTTCAGTTTGGGAACTCGGGGTGTAGGCCAGCCGGACGACCTTGCTCTCGTTTCCATGGCAACAAAGGATCTTGTTTAGTCTGAGGACGGCCCGCTGTTTTGGGAAACTGAGAAGGCAAGGTTAGAGGCAGCAACGGACCGAATGGGAACAGGCCTGTCTCACCTTCTCATCGTCCACTCTGAAGTTCTTGTACTCGGCGAAGCGCTGGTTCCCCTCCAAGTCCTCGGTGTTGATGTGCAGGTCGTAGTTTCCTACGAGACAGGAGAGTCAGGCGAGTGGCCAGGTGACGGTCGCTGCCGTGCTCAGCAGGTAAACGCACCTTGAGAGGTGAGGAGGTGAAGAGGCTGGTTCCCCAACCAGAACTCGCCGTCAGGGGAGTAGGAATCCCCGAAGCCATGACTGTACTCTGCCCAGGTCCTGCAGACATGATCATCAGAACAACAGAAGAATCTTGATGTGAAAAATACAAATAAATAAAATGAGATAAAACCGAAACGTGACATTTATATGAGAGAATAAAAACAGAAACGGATAAAAAAAGGTCCAGGATCAGGAGCTGCTGTTTAACTGATCCTCAGCAGGAGGTTCTGCTGGTGTGTTAACACAATGCCAAGATGGAAAGACATCAGCAGTGACAGAGCAGCAATCTGTGAAGGGTCAAAGGTCATTTAGAGTCCGTCGTTCTACAGAAAGATTCTTCACAAGAGAACATTTCAGACAGCTGATTCACCCTGAAGGTCAGACCGTGCAGTGACTCTACAGGCCTCTGTCAGCAGGTCAAAGGTCATGACCTCTTCCCTCTAAAAACAACATGGCAGCTCGACTAAGGTTTGGAATGTTTCATCTTATGGAACCAGAAGAGTTCTGGACCAGAACCAGAGGACAGATGTTTACCCAGAATGCACTGCTGCAAGCAGCTCCTCCCAGCTGTCAGCATGGTGGTGGAGGGCTGATGGTTTGGGCCGACACTCACCTGTCGAAGCTCTCCTTCCCGTCCTTCCTCCTCTGGAAGACGGTCCACCCTCCTCCGTTGTTCATGTCGCAGTAGACTTTCAGCTCCGTGGGCGAGCCGTCCGGTCGGATCACGTAGAGCCCGCTCGCCACGTTTCCATCTGCGTACACCTCAGAGCAGTCTGCACAGAACCCGGCAGAACCCGGCCAGCGTGAGAAGAACCACAGCTGTTTAATCTGACCAACTCACTTTTCTTTATGGAAGTGTTTAAAGGTTCTGAGTGTTGAACGGACCTCTGTAGAGGTTCTGCAGGCCCAGGTGGGTGTTGGGGATGCGCAGCAGCTGCTGTGACTGTCTGCTCTGCAGCTCCATGATGTAGCTGTGCTGCTGGTCGATCACGTTCTTCAGACTCCGGACCTCAGCATCCAGATAGGCCACCCTCTTCTCACACGCAAGGGGAGCCTGGACCGAAACACACAGACCTCCTGAACCACTAGAACCGCACATTGTTCTCTAGAACGACAAGAAGAACCTCGGGTGCTGGGACACAGCAAACCGAGGGTGGGCTCAGCTAACTAAAACATTAGCTTTGATAACGCTAAACCTCTAAACAGATAAAAAAATTATCTGAAGCTAACGCTAAAGTGCTAACTTTTATTATCCACTGCTGTTGCTGTTCGACTGTCTAATGTGAACTGCGCTGTGCTGAACTGGTTTTATAAACTAACTACGAAGTTGCTGTGCATCAACATCAATATTCTCTCTGTAATAAATCTGCACTAATGTAAAGATGTGTGAAATGTGTGAGAGAGTCACGTCCCAGAGACAAGTGCGAGCATTGCAAAGTCATTTCAGTTTATTTCTGTAGCTCCAAGTCCCAACAGCAGTTGTCTCAGTTCACTGTATAAAAACATTTACATACATTATAAAAGCCAGTTAGTAAAAGTTCTCTTTCTAAGGAAGCAGCAGGTTGTGTTGAATCTTCACTTCGTCACCGTCTCCCATCCTGAGCAAGCACGAAGGAGACAGTGGAAAGGAAAAACTACATTTGAACAGGAAGAAACCTCCGTCAGAACCAGGCTCAGGACGAGCGGCCATCTTCTTCGAGCAGCTGAGGTTTGAGAGGACAGGAAGTAGAAACAAACACAGAATGACAGGTTCTGGTGAACTTTCTATAGGAGGAACGATAAAAAACACGTTAAGATAGAAATAATTACAAATACAAACAGGGAGAGCAAGTAAAGACAGCAGAGAGAGAAAATGTGGTCCGTTTGTCATCCAACAGTCTCAGCCTATAGCAGCATAACTAAGGGATAGCTCAGGAAACCCAAGCCAACCCTAACTATAGGATTAATCAAAAAGGAAAAACCTAAAAGCCTACTCTTAAAACTGGACAATGTGTCGGCCTCAAGGACAGAAACTGGAAGTTGGTTCCACAAGAGAGGAGCCTGATCACTGAAAGTTCTTCCTCCCATGATGCTTTTTGGAACCGCAAGTAAACCTGCAGTCTGAGAGAGAAGTGCTCTGTTAGGAAAATATGGAACAATAAGATCTGTAATATAAGATGGAGCTAGGTTGTTGAGAGCTTTGTAGGTTAGAAGCAGGATTTTGAATTCAGTTCTGAATTTGACAGGAAGCCAATGGAGAGAAGCTAAAACTGGAGAGAGAGGATCTCTCCTATCAACTGTCATTAAAACGCTGGCAGCAGCGTTTTGGATCAACTGAATACTTTTTAAAGAAGTTTTTGGACACCCAGATAATAAACAATTGCAATAGTCCAGTCTAGACATGACAAATGCATGGACCAGGTAAGGATTATGTTTACCATGTTTCTGAGTGTGAAAATGGGGTTTTCATATTATTTTCTTGTTCTGGTTTGGCTTCATTTCTGTTAAAGTCTCTGTTATTGGCTGTAAACTGAGACTGATGGAGGTAGGGATGAGGAGGAAAAAAGCGCTGCAAGGGTGGTGACATCACCCGGTGTTGCTACGATTTGTTTAGCTTTGCATAGCATAGTATAGTATACCTTGGTGTCAATCACCGTCTTCTGTACACTTTTAGAGTCGGGAACTGTGTGGAAAAAAAATTGCGGACTTGACATTACCGGATTTAAATTTAGCTGAAGCTGATTCCACTAATGGTTTTCAAAGTTAGGGAAAACACTAACCTGCTACATGTAAAGATGACTCCACTATTTAGAAGATTATAGGAACTGTGCCCACAAATGCAATGGACCAACACTGACACATCTGCTGAGTCAAAAATACAGTTAATAAAAACATACTTGGAACAAACCCAGACCCACAAAAACGCTGAAACAAACTGCTGACTCAACAAACTGCTGACACATAAAACAAACTGC